TGCACCATTTGTTATTCCACCTGAAATTACGTAAAGTTTTAATGCGAATATTTATTTAAATTCTTAATTTTAGAAAGAACTAAATACAAAGCAGAGTAAAAATTATTGATAATTCATTTATGTAAATATCATAAGAATACGTAAAGCTCATTTTCTATTTTAACCTTGCTGCGCGAATGCATCACTGACAGAACCATCACAAGGTGGATGATCATTTTTTGCCATGTGAGCATGCTTACTTGCGTAGCTTTCCGCAAGAAATCTGCAAATTTCGTTACACTTAAAATTAAAATATTTACTTCAACTTCTAAGTATTTTAAATTACGAAGTTTTTTGTTGTAGAATCAGCATATTTTATTTATGTAAAAGCAGTTTCCGTAACAAAATATAATGTACTTCGGGCGATAAATTTAAAAAGAAAAGACATTAAATCACTCTAACCGAAATGTTTGGTCATCAGGACTTTTGGAATATTCGTTACTGCTAGGATTTCGAGCAGAATCAAATGGGTAATTAGCTACTAAATCACCTTCATGAATATTGGCTGATAAAACAAACGGTAAGGAAAGGATCCATTGACCAACTGCGCGAACTTCTGGTTGATACTACAATTTTCAGATTGAATCAAATTTCCAAATAATATACTTATTAAAGTGGATTAATATTAGGATTTTGCATACTTCTTTTGCATCATCGGCAAACAATTCCAAAAGATGGTCAAAACGTGGAACATTATGTCTCTCTAGATGGTAGTAAAAATTATCAAGATCTGGGAAATCACGATTCAAGTCAACACCATTTGCATTAGATCTGCCGACAAACCAATCTCGAATGGGATTTTTCTGAAACATTTTTACATTTTCATGTTTCAGGCTTTAATACTCAAAACCATACCTAATTCAAGGAAAACATTAAGTGTACATTCTGTCTAATTGAGAAGCACGAGTTTTTGATTTTTATAGAAAAGGTTTTTTTTGCCCTGCCTTACGTTCCGATAAATTTTTCATTATTACTGAGTATTAACTAAATGCACTTTACTATAAGCATGTCGAATTATGTTATGGGCTAGAAAAATATATTTTTAAAATCAGTACAGTAGAAAAAGCTAGTTCAAATCCATCTGGATTCATTGATGGTAGCAAATGAATTGACGTGGAATTGATAAGTGTCATGATTTCCTTATTTTTTGCCAAAAGTTGGTCACAAAAGTATGACGCAAGTCGCAATAAAAGTTCTCTTCCAACAGGTTCATTGCCATGCATATTGCCAATATATTTCATTTCCGG